CTGATGATGCTTTTTATAAAGGCAGTCATCCATGTAAATGTGTTGCCCCCCAAAGGTGATCTTCCTAAACAGGGAGTGGCCGTGTCTCCAATTAGCCCATTTAGCTTAGTGAGTGGGTTCACATCTAGATGGAGATAATCTCCTTGTTAGTTAGGCTATCCCAATATAGATGTCGGAGTGGGACTTAAAGGCAGTCTGCTCTCTGCTCCTAAATGTAGCCTTTCATTTCTCTCAATTAGATGACAAAAGTACTTCTAACAAAAATACTTTTTTGATGTCGATGAGGTGCTGGGCTCTGGGATGCATTATGAAAAGTAGGCCATCTTTACCACCTTTTCTTTCTACCCTGCCTAAGAGGAGACTGAGTCAGGATTAACCTTAACAAAGTATCCTAACTGGCTAGTATTTCTTTCTCTAGAAAATCTTAAGATTTCTAAGTTGAAATCCTACAATCACCCCCTCCCCCTTTCTTGAGAGTTCTGTATACAGAATTGTAGTTTGACTTCTCTTTACCCAAAGCACTAATCACTTCTTTTGGCTGGTATTTTAGGGCTTTCTTAGGTTTATTGATTATTTGGGGTCTGATTCACCCTAACCAGGTCAGAAGGAAATCAGTGACTCAAAATGTGCTGAGATTTTTTTCTGTAGTTTTATCATTGATTTTTAAAATAAATGCATTGCAGTTTATTCTTCTGCAGATATGTAGGGATCAAGATGAGGTTGTGACACGCTTGTTAAACTGGTTTTCTCCATTTATTCAGGTGTGAATGGAAACAGGTGCTCTGAATCATCAACTCTGCTTGAGAAATACAAGATTGGCAAGGTTATCGGTGATGGCAATTTTGCAGTTGTCAAGGAATGCATGGACCGGTGAGTGAAGCGGGAAGATAATCATTTGTTCACATATCCATGCATTTCCTCCCTTGGAGTTTATTCTTACTGGAATGAGCAAAAAGGCTTTCCTGGAAAGTCTTTTGCCCCCTTTCTGAAAGAATCTATCCTGGGAACAGTCACTTGCATGCCTACAAGTAATTAGACAAGGAAAACTATATGTATTCACTAATCCAGCATAAAACTGCTGTGTATGCATGACAGATTTATCAGGTTTCATTCCTGAGCCTGAGAATAAAATGAATAAAAAAAATCTATTTTTGGAAAATCTCCTGTAACACTTACCTGTGCCAGGTGTTAGTTACCAGCACTAGACCTATAGTAACTCATTTAACCCCCATCATAACTCTTAGATGTTACTTAATTGCATATGCCAAAAGCTTAGGATCCATGAGCTCTGACTCTGGTTAAGATCAAAATCGGCCAATATTGGTCCTGTTTTTCTTTGTCCAACTTCATTTTCTTGAAGGTGTTAAGTTCTTAGATGATAAACAACCCATTGTTTTTAAATTCCAGGTCTTTTGCAAATCTGGAAACCACTCAGATTAGAGCTTTTGTGTTTATATGCCACTGTCTGCCTTTTCTGAATAGTATTTTTTATTGTCTCTGGGGAATTTTCCAGGACAGTCTAGTAACTGCAGTTTTTCTATTTTGCTACCTCTCTGGCTGTGCTTTAATTTTTTTATATTGGTACTTCAGTTCCTGTCCTATAAACCCACTACTTCGGGCTGATACACAATTTTTACCACACAAGTAACAAACTAAGCATCTAAAATGTGACTTCTGAAGACATCTTAGCAATCTGGAGCCGGCTTTGGTTTATGTTACTACAAAAAAATTAAGTATCTTCTGAAAGGCCTTAGCAATGAGTACAACAATGTGGCTACACATCTGTGCTGAGGGAGCAGATGTATGTTAGGAATACTGCAATGTTCCTGTTAACTGTTTTCCCGTCTGAATAATATCTTTCGGCATGTTCAGATTAAATTATGCTAAAGGTTATTAAAAGTTAAATACAACATCAAAATTCTTGGGTTCAAGGAAATGATCTCCCCAGGACCTGATATGGGCATTAAAAAGTTGTGGGAAGAAGTTTCCAAATCTGGAGAATTCTGAATTCTGTGACCTCTTTTGATTTATGGACTAATTTTGATTAACAAATTAACGTAAAAATATTACTTATAGAAAATTTCATTTTATTCTGACTTCTGGGGGTATTATTTAGATTTATATATTTATATATATAAATATATATTTATATATATAAATATATATTTATATATATAAATATATATTTATATATATAAATATATAAATCTAAATAATACCCCCAGAAGTCAGAATAAAATGAAATTTTCTATAAGTAATATTTTTACGTTAATTTGTTAATCAAAATTAGTCCATAAATCAAAAGAGGTCACAGAATTCAGAATTCTCCAGATTTGGAAACTTCTTCCCACAACTTTTTAATGCCCATATCAGGTCCTGGGGAGATCATTTCCTTGAACCCAAGAATTTTGATGTTGTATTTAACTTTTAATAACCTTTAGCATAATTTAATCTGAACATGCCGAAAGATATTATTCAGACGGGAAAACAGTTAACAGGAACATTGCAGTATTCCTAACATACATCTGCTCCCTCAGCACAGATGTGTAGCCACATTGTTGTACTCATTGCTAAGGCCTTTCAGAAGATACTTAATTTTTTTGTAGTAACATAAACCAAAGCCGGCTCCAGATTGCTAAGATGTCTTCAGAAGTCACATTTTAGATGCTTAGTTTGTTACTTGTGTGGTAAAAATTGTGTATCAGCCCGAAGTAGTGGGTTTATAGGACAGGAACTGAAGTACCAATATAAAAAAATTAAAGCACAGCCAGAGAGGTAGCAAAATAGAAAAACTGCAGTTACTAGACTGTCCTGGAAAATTCCCCAGAGACAATAAAAAATACTATTCAGAAAAGGCAGACAGTGGCATATAAACACAAAAGCTCTAATCTGAGTGGTTTCCAGATTTGCAAAAGACCTGGAATTTAAAAACAATGGGTTGTTTATCATCTAAGAACTTAACACCTTCAAGAAAATGAAGTTGGACAAAGAAAAACAGGACCAATATTGGCCGATTTTGATCTTAACCAGAGTCAGAGCTCATGGATCCTAAGCTTTTGGCATATGCAATTAAGTAACATCTAAGAGTTATGATGGGGGTTAAATGAGTTACTATAGGTCTAGTGCTGGTAACTAACACCTGGCACAGGTAAGTGTTACAGGAGATTTTCCAAAAATAGATTTTTTTTATTCATTTTATTCTCAGGCTCAGGAATGAAACCTGATAAATCTGTCATGCATACACAGCAGTTTTATGCTGGATTAGTGAATACATATAGTTTTCCTTGTCTAATTACTTGTAGGCATGCAAGTGACTGTTCCCAGGATAGATTCTTTCAGAAAGGGGGCAAAAGACTTTCCAGGAAAGCCTTTTTGCTCATTCCAGTAAGAATAAACTCCAAGGGAGGAAATGCATGGATATGTGAACAAATGATTATCTTCCCGCTTCACTCACCGGTCCATGCATTCCTTGACAACTGCAAAATTGCCATCACCGATAACCTTGCCAATCTTGTATTTCTCAAGCAGAGTTGATGATTCAGAGCACCTGTTTCCATTCACACCTGAATAAATGGAGAAAACCAGTTTAACAAGCGTGTCACAACCTCATCTTGATCCCTACATATCTGCAGAAGAATAAACTGCAATGCATTTATTTTAAAAATCAATGATAAAACTACAGAAAAAAATCTCAGCACATTTTGAGTCACTGATTTCCTTCTGACCTGGTTAGGGTGAATCAGACCCCAAATAATCAATAAACCTAAGAAAGCCCTAAAATACCAGCCAAAAGAAGTGATTAGTGCTTTGGGTAAAGAGAAGTCAAACTACAATTCTGTATACAGAACTCTCAAGAAAGGGGGAGGGGGTGATTGTAGGATTTCAACTTAGAAATCTTAAGATTTTCTAGAGAAAGAAATACTAGCCAGTTAGGATACTTTGTTAAGGTTAATCCTGACTCAGTCTCCTCTTAGGCAGGGTAGAAAGAAAAGGTGGTAAAGATGGCCTACTTTTCATAATGCATCCCAGAGCCCAGCACCTCATCGACATCAAAAAAGTATTTTTGTTAGAAGTACTTTTGTCATCTAATTGAGAGAAATGAAAGGCTACATTTAGGAGCAGAGAGCAGACTGCCTTTAAGTCCCACTCCGACATCTATATTGGGATAGCCTAACTAACAAGGAGATTATCTCCATCTAGATGTGAACCCACTCACTAAGCTAAATGGGCTAATTGGAGACACGGCCACTCCCTGTTTAGGAAGATCACCTTTGGGGGGCAACACATTTACATGGATGACTGCCTTTATAAAAAGCATCATCAGGGGACCTCCCTGGTGGTGCAACAAATTAAAACACAGCACTATGTTGCTATTGCAGCCACTGCAGCCCGAGTTTGATCCCCGGCCAGGGAGCTGCGCCAGCAGGAGACCTCTCCTGACCCACAAGCTGCTCCCCTCAGCAGTATTTCAGTGGATCTGCCTGTTTTGCTCCCCATTCTGTCTCTGGTGACTCCTATCACTGCCCCCCCCCACACACACACACTCCTCTGGTCTGTACCCCGTTCTTGTATGCATAAATATATAAATCTTAAATTTAAAAAAAAAAAAGGCATCATCAGACTGACAACTACCTTCAGGACTCATGCAACGGTCAAGTTCAGGTCCACCATTCACAGTGGAAGAAGATCTGCCATGTGCAGAAATCTGCTGAAAGAACAAAGTGGCCATTATTTATCAGGATAAATTTACAAATCTTTAGCTAGCTAATCCTCAGATCATAAAAAATGCTTAGAACATGTAAAAATTAATGAGAAATAGAGGAAGCACTCCCTTTCAGCCCATCGTACCCTTCCCCCTATGTACATCACATTAATGCATTTCTTCCTTAGACACAGTATTTCGAATTCTGATTAGATGTCAGGAAAATGAACACTATGTCACTCTTTATGGTATTGTACTACTTTTGACCTCAGTGAAGTATTTTTATGTCATCAAGGGTGAGCAAGGTACTTATTAGTGGCAAAAGGCGGCTTAGGACGACACAGTTAATTCCAAATTATCAGTAGTGAGTGCTCAGGTCCCAGTGCTTCTCCTGTGTTTGGCACTAGGGAGGCCCTGCTGAAGTCAAGCTCCTCTTAGACCTCCAGGCCCAAGCCCGGTATTGCAACACCTTCCACACCTCTGGGGATCCAGAGTGAAGCCCTGGATCAGCCCTGTTCTTTGCCCACCATTAGACAGCAGGAACATTAGCAGGATTTTTAGTAGAAAGAACCCAAGGGAAATACAGACTAAAAAGTAGCTTTCACCTCAACAAAAATAAAGTTCACAGTCTAATGCAGAAGTAGCTTCAGTTCTTAGGTGAAATGGAAAACTCACACTATTCATATAAAGTATATTATTCCCTAGATGTAGGGAATTTTTCCTTCCCTCTCTCTCCTTCCTTCTTTCCAAGTTATTCCTTTCAGAAACTTACAAGGTCAAGCAACTTATCAAATACTAAGCAGCACTTTTCATTCTGATCTTGACACCCAAACTGTCCTGGTAGCTTCTGCCCTACAATGACTGAGCCTCATTCATCACTGGGCTCCATCCATGCACACAGCACAGATCCTGGTACACACAGGACCTACCTCATGCTAAATGCTGTGGGTCCAGGGCAGGGCACTGCCTTTCCAGGGCACCCGCACTTGGAGGGACGGGCCCATATTCTCCCTTTGGATAAAGTGGAGACCCACACAAATACTAAATTTGGTACAAAACCCAGGAAAGCCCAATACTTATGATCCTCAACAGTAAGAGCCATGTCAAAACGGGGCTGTTTTCTCAAATCCAATGTGACCACACCTTGTAGCAACCCTACAACCAGTGAGGCCATGGAAAAGGAGGCTGAGACACCCTCCGCCCCTCCATGCAGCACCTATCCAGAGCAGCTAAGCTCACTTCTCATGTGTTTCTGCCTGCACACTCCAGAGTGCATGCTGGTGGGTCCCTCACACCTAGAGAAACGCTGCACTCAGCTCTCACCTGCATCCTCAGACTTCAGTTATTCTGGTGCCTCAATAAGTTCTTTACTTTGTCCTAACTCATTTTCTTGGCCACTGAAATAAAAGACAACTCTAAAAGCAGACTCTAGGTTACAAAGCTAGACTTCTAAACAAAAGCTTGAGACTCCCAGGGATGCCAAAAGCAAGCCACAACATTCTCCACGTCACCTCCCCCCCTTCCCACGCTCCTCCTCCAGCTTCTCTTGGACTCTCATCAAAGCTTTCCTGACTTACTGTCAGTCTCACCCATCCCACTCATTGTTTCCAAAGAACAGCTCTGATGTCACCTAGTCTAGGGTCCAAGTTTCATTACCAACAAAATAATTCGAAGTCATCCATGACAGCCTCCTACCTCCCCTGTTTCACTGTTTGCCACACTTTTTCTGTTTCATTTAGTGTTTGTACTAATTCAACTATTATTTACTTGCAAAGTTGCTTAACTTTCCAAGTGTTAGTTTTCTGCTCTGAAAATGGGGATGTTAGCAACCTCAATGATTTTTCTGGAGCATTAACTTTCGCTCATACATGTAAAATCACTTAGCACAACCAGTGACTTGTAACAAAAGTGACTGAAATGTTTAACTGTTGATTGTACAATGGTTAAAGAGATCTTTTGCTAAGTAATTACTTCCAAACCTGTTCCTCTTTAACTCAACTTTCTATACTATAAATTGTCAAAGAAAGGAGAAACCCAAGTCAAAATCACATTAGTCACATTCTCGGTGGAATAAGGATAACTTTTTGCTACATTAGATCTTAAGAGATGAATGGAAAGATCCCTTTTGATCCCTGCTTGCCCTCTGGATTAGATACAGAGGGTGGTGGGGGAGGGGAGGTTATCAATGCCCAGAAATTTTCCAGGAACCTGATCCGCCCACCTGCACCTGTATCTCAGTGCAGGACAAGCAGCCACACTCCTTTCAGTCCCAAGCTGGCTGGGTCAGGCCTGGGCTTTGGGCAAGAAGCATCTCCCCCATGCCCAGAGCCTGGGGAGTGTGCAGTGTGGACAGTGTGGCCCTAAGAGCAGCCTTTGCTCTCCGCCTGGCCCTCCTCCCCAGGCCCTCACATAGCTCTCCCACAGACAGGTAAAGTTCTTCCAACTAGTCCTTTTTTTTTTTTTTTGTAAAGTTATTTTATGCATGCATACCAGAGCTGGGCTGCAGACCAGAGGTGTGAAAGGACTCACCAGAGACACAGTGGGGAGCAGAAGAGGCTGGTCTTCTGAGGGGAGTAGCAGGAAGACAGGCTTGGTCTGCTGCACCACATGGGTCAGCTCCCTCCCCAGGGATCAAACTCTTGCTGCAGTGGCTGCTGAGAGCTTCATAGTGCTGAGACTTAACCCCTTGTACCACATCAGGGAGGCCCAAAGAGTCCTTTTATCTTGAGCTAATCTAAGTAGGTTCTGGTTTAGAGCAAGCCAAGTATCCTGTTCTCAAACACTCTGAGAAGAAAGTCTCAGAAGAGGCTGACAAAGGCATTTTTACCTCCATCTACATTTTCAACGAGTGAGTGACTCCTCCAGTGTTTATTAAATGAGTTCCTGTGAACCACTGTAACTCTCCCAATGTTTATTTTGATTAATCTCCTTTCCCTCCTCACTTAATTCCCTCAACAATCCAGCAATCACAACCCTGGGCTGTGCTGGGATTCAGAAGTGGCAGAAACCACAAGACAGAGCAGGTGGAGGAAGCTGCTGCTCTGGAGATTAAAAGAAAGTGGCCACAGGGCTGCAGGAGAGGTGGCCTGTGGGTCAGGAGGGGTGCAGTGAGGGAGGGAGAGCTAGAGGGAGAACAGGCCAGGTAAAGCCTGCTTACACGTGCGCCTAACAAAGTTTCACAAAATTATCAAAAAACCATTTTCAACTCTCAGTCTGAAAGACTTTGGAAAATGTTAGTGGCTGAAGCACTAAAAAAACCTAAACCTATATAGAATTAAGAGGATGACTTAACTAATTACCTATGCAAATATGTTTCTTTCTTTAAAAAATATAATGCTTTCACAAAGGAAATAAAAACAAGGAAAGCACAGGAATCGTTTTACTACATCACAGTGACAGGGGCATAATCTGACCCACAGACAACTTTTCTTTCCTCCCCCCTCACTTCTTTAGTAACATTTATGGCCACAAACTAGAAGGTTAGAGGATGAAAGATGAAGGGACACAGTCAGCACTGCACAGCAGTTTGCAATCTTGTGAGGAGGGTCACATGACCAGGCAAAGCCCTTCTGTGAAAGCTCTGCCTATGGTTTCTAATGGTTTTGTGGCTAAAATGACTCTGAGGTTCCCTGAGACGAAGCACAAATCTGTGCTTAAGATGCTCCTATCACACGACTAGTCATCAGGTTCACTTGACCTCAGGTTCACTTAACCTCCCAGTCATGAAGCCTGTTGTTCTAAGGGTAAAGTGTGGGTATCACCATGATCTCTGGACAGGTATCTGGCAAAATGTGAAGTGTCTATGGTTAAATATAAAACAAAGCTTCCCTGGTGCCCCAAGAGATGTACAGACAAAGAGCAGTAAAATACAAAGCTACGGCTGCCGGACAATCCTCACCATTTCCCAGACACTATTTATGTATTTCCCCATCTCTTGTAAAAGAACTGTGCCCTTCTGAAGCAAGGACTGAATTAGCACCAGAGAAGTTAAATGATGGCATTCCTGATTAAACCTGTCTCATTTCTATTGTCAACCTAACAATTTTTATTAAAATCTCTTAAAATGCTAATGAGCCTTCATGCTTCCATCAGCAACTATGATGCTGAGACAGCACAGAGTGCCAAGATGCTGCATGTTAGCACATTTCCTCAGGAATGCAAACGTGGACAGCAGCGTCTGGCTCCGTCCATTATCACCCATAATTGCTACCTAATTCAAAAAGATGTGACTACATGTAGGAAAGGGAAGAAGCGCATGGGCTATGTCCTGATTGGTCAAGGGGGGAAGGTGGAGGAAAAGAACTGCTGAGCCATTTTGTGACCCGGCACTGCAGCTCCCTGTACCTTCTTGTCTGGCAGCAGCAGCAGCAGCAACTCCATTTTTATGAGAAAGAAAGGGAAGGAAATGTACAAGAATCTGCTTGTGCTTAAAAAAAAAGAACAGATATAAAGTGTCCTCAATGACTTGCATCATTTAAAAGGGCATTCATTGATGATTGAGTACATCTGATAATAAGTAATGCTCCTTTCTACATTTTTTTTTGCCAGAAAATTAAATCAGTGTTCTACATTACATTTCTTAGATAAATGGATTAGTAGTAGCTCTATGAAATTTAAAGATAAATGATAGGTTCTACACTAATACATGAAGTTTTGTTCAGAAATAGGCAATTCACCAAAAAGTAGTAAGAATAGCTGTAGCAATGCATTATAATGCTGAATGTGGATTAATTTTGATTTCTCATAAAAGGAAAAACTTGAATGGAATCCAGAAGATACTCTAGTGGCATTTCTGGGAAATGGAACCATGATTCAATTTTTAGCTTACTGCAGGGGTCAGAAACATTTTCTATATAGGGCCAAATAGTAATATTTTGACCCTGTGAGTCATATGGTCTAAATCACAAATGCTCAACTACACTGTTGTAGCAACGATCTGTAGCAGCCATAGATTACATGTAAATGAATGGGCATGCCTGTGTTCCAATAAAACTTTATTTAGAAAA